AAGATAATTCAACATAATAATAATGTGGTAGATGCCAAACTTGCAATTCTCATGAAATAAATTTAAAATCTGTAGGCTTGTAGGATTGCCTTTTTGCAGCAGCATACTCAAGGGATTTTGTGGATAGCTCGTGCCTTTCAATGAAAAACCTTGGCACCCCAGACATCTCCCTGACCCCTCCAGCTGCAGATATGCTAGTGCGATTCGGCCAGCCACTGACCACCACCTTCCAACTTTAAGTAGTTCACAAAATTTTGTTCCCCGCACACCAGGTAATAAAATCTAAATACGTCAACAGGCAATAAAGTTTCGTTGTATTTTCAGCTTTGACTTTAAAACATTTTTGAATTAATAATAATACCAAAGCTGTGTAGTGTGTCATGCAAAAGAAAATTCTCTATGCATGCAAGTTTTTTATAGCGTACTAGTCTCTAGGTGTTATCACTGCCAAATAGAACGTAAACTATTGACGCAACTAATACTATCAGTATTCCATGACAGTTTTAAAATGCTTTTGACTTCAATCAGGCTAAAAGTGACATTGATATATATATTTTTTTTCTCAATACCTGAATTAACTATTCAGTTACTCACAAACTATAACAGGGTATCTACAATGATTATCATCAGCTAAATATAAAGGATAAAAATGAAATATACAGAAACAAATGGTACAAAAATACCGATACCTCCCTGATGTAAGCATAATAATTTTTAAATAAAACAATAAAATAAATAATAAAAGTTCTAAATGCAAAATATTAATACAGTATTGCATTCAAAACAATATGACAAAAACTTCCAAAATATAAATATTCTTACATTAAAATATATCTACAGTATCATCCTGTATTTTCACCTGATAAATGTAAATACTGTAGTTGCAAATTGTGCCTATCTACCTGAAAGTTATCAACTTCATTCAAAGTATGAATACACAAAAATAAAAATGTTTCCTTGCATATTGTTCATCTGCTGAAACTATTTCATGATGTCATTATTATAAACAGTCAATATAAAATTCGTGTGAGCACTTCGTTATTTTCCATTTTCATGAGTGAAAGGATTTGCAACACGCATTTTTCACAAACATTGTTTTGGCATTACAATTGACATTGACAGAGTACCAGAGTGACATACATTCATCGATCCAGTTCCATGCTCATGGGCACAATAAAATTTTCTGAACTCTGGCTGTGCATTATTACGCTTTGTAAAAAGTAGAAACTGAACCAGTGGCATCACAGAGTTTGTGGGGCCTTGGCGGTGACTGTTATTGGGGGGGGGGCCCTTAATAAGCGAGCGTTAAGTTTGCGAGTGGAGCGAACAAACAGATCCTGGGGGCTAGGAGGGGATGGAGAACCCTGGTGAAGCCCAATCCTGCTCAGAGCTTATGGCCCCCCCACCTGCTACACCCCCAAGATCCCATAGGAGTTACACCACAGGGTGTAGGAAATTATGTGGACGGTAAAGTGATGATGTCATGATGGACAATGCAATGCAAATTTAGTGGACCATACAATAAAGGTTACTGCTTATCTTCACTTGCTTCAGTTAGATGCTAAGTATCAAGCCAGCAAATAATGTGGCACTGAAACTAAGGTCTAAATAACAATGCAGTGGAAAAAGCATAGCGGTTAAGGTGCCTGTCTTCCAAAACCACGCTTCTTGGTTCAAATTTAGTAGGTTTTTTTTTAAACCAATGAGTTCATTGATTTTAAAAATATTTATTTTACCAAGAAAAGGATTATATACACAAAGTGCAATTCTTGTTTAAACAATTAAATATTGGCTTGCATGACCACTTATGTTTAGTGTTATTTTTCTAATTCTGAAGATTGATTCTAAGTATTTCAGACTTCTCGTATGCTAATTTTAAGTAAGTATATGAATATACTTTTATCAAACGCAGTGTACATCTGGCTCACTGATATCCTAATTTGATAGTGTGGACAAAGCTATTCACTATAAGAGCTATTTTAGCTAAAATGCATTAAACACTCGAAAATAAGCTTTAAAGCCTATATACACAGAACATGACAGCAGCACACACCCTCTTCTTGTGGAATGATGTATGTATTACATATTTCCTCTGATATCATGAATAATTACTCTCTATGGCTTCTAGGTAGTCACGGCCTACATCCATGTGCAATTCAGCACAATGACGCTGGGAGTTATGGTTATTCTCCTATCATTACCTATATCTTTACCAAAATGGATCTTTTGTGCTGTGTGTTATGTGGTGCTATCACGCTCTCTGTGTAAATAAGCTTTTATCGAGTGTACTCGCAAATATGCACACATCAAATAAAACCGATGACGCTGCTTAATTCAGTTATGTACGGCCGTTTTTTTAGTGAATGATCTTTGGTGTCTCCCCAAGTTCTGTGTGGTATTCTTTAAATAACCTTTGGAATTTAAATATTTTGTAGCTGTATATTAAAATATTAAAATTTTATGTGTAATGTTTGCTAAATTGTTGTATTTTGTCAGTTGCAGTTGTTAGAGTTGGCTATTATTCCCTAGCCTTGCTTAACAATTGATTTCATCACCGTTGCTGGTTTCGCTGTTCTTGCTCAAGGCTTGTGAGTCTCTGGTAAGCAGGCTCTTGTAGTACTCTCTTCAAACGTCCTGTTTGTGGGTGATCATCTCCGAAGACCTGTATTTTACTTTCCAAACCCCTTTTGAAGTACTTGAATGCTTCACTGGTATTGCCCATCTCTTCAAGGAGGATGGCGATGTTTGTAAACAAACGGCTGGACAGGACACTCACGTCCCCGTATATCTGGATACACAGAACTTCAGCAGCTTTGTATAGCTACAATAAAGATTCATGAATAATATTAGTGAAATAAAATGAATTGCTGGTGATCTGCACTACCCAACAGATATGTTTTCATGACACTGATCTACAGTATAATTATACTATAGCATAATATTATTGAGACCCATGTTGTTTGGTAACTTTTGGGTGACCACTCAGCTTCAATATGACATTTGATACTAACAGCCTTGATAGATGAAATTTTTTTTAAACCATTCATTTATTATATCAGAAGAAATATATAAAACATACAAATATGCATGCTCATGTTTAACTGTTTCAGGTAATTAACAGGAAGATTTTTAGATTAACTCTGACCTACTACCCACCCCCACCCCCTCACACTGACACATCACACAAACAAGAAAGTAAAAAATACCTCAAGTGCTTCCTGTTGGTTGACCTCTGCCAGAAGAAGGCCTTCATTCATTATACACTCTGAAATATGTCCTTTGTCTCCAAGCTGCAATATGAATTAATAAGCAACAAATATTTCTTTTTTTTTTACTCTATTCAGACTACTTAATTTATAGCAAACGTAGTAAATTGCATGACATATCTTTCAACTTGTTTGTGACAACTCTAGCAAACACTGTCATAGAGATGTTGCAAAATGTTTGCTGTCAATGTGTTTACTTCAAAGCTAGCTGGCACATACTCTTGCTTATATTTTTGCTGACCTTTTGCCCTGAGGCCATGTTTTGAAGCGATTGTATCTGAATATGCCTAGCCATTTTGATTTGTGGTGAACGATTCACATTTACTCCTGATTACTGACGATCGCTTCGCAAGTGTATTGTCTGAATAAAGTATTAAAGATGGCAGCCTCTAAGCTCATTTCACTGCTGTATGACTGAGCATTCAGACAGATGACATGCTTAAATGCAAGTGAAATATTGCATACATTACATGAAAAAGAGCAGGGGTTTACCTTACTACCCAATTTACCACCAAGGATAGCACTTGGTGGAATCATTGAGTTACTTTACTATCAGTAGAGAAAATAAATTAATGACTGACTTCTACATTACCTCCTCATAGATTTCCTTGGCTTCTTTGAGGCTTTCGACCCCTAGGTCATATCCTTCCTGAGCTTGTAGGTTGTTGTCTCCACCCAAAACATACCAAGTTTTCAAATTGAAGGCCAACTTCATCAACGAAAATGCACGTTCATACTAAACAGTAATATTGAAAAGTAAGAATTGAGATTTAGAGATTCAAATTATGCATAATAATGTTATATTATAGTAAATAGGCAACATAACAAAGCAATCAACATAGGCCTAGATAACAGAGAGGGGCAAAAACATCCAGGCCTCAGGATCCAGATGATATAAACATTTTTCTAAACTGCCAATGACAATTTTCCCACCAAATGATTTGTTGAAAAATCCAACAGAAATTAAATTAGAAGATTCTTATTCTTATAAATAGAATTAAGAAATGTTCTTTATCACTAGTGTATTACATAGACATTAATTTCTGTTCCTTGCTAATTTATCTTTCAGAACTATTTATCACCTAAATATATTGCACTTTCGACTGTAAAAGATTACATTATGCGCCATATGAACTCACAATTAAACTATACTATTATTATTCCATAATATATTATTATTATCAAGGGATCATACTTAGACAGATTTTTATCTTTGGTTGTATTTATCCTTTTTGTTTAAAAAATTACAAACTTTGTAACCCTCATTTAATTTTAAGTACAATTGAAGTATTAAAAAATATGAAATAACTGACCTTGTACTTTTCCCCTCTTTCTGTAAGCTGCTCACTTATTCGAAGTGCCTTTCTTCGACTGCTGATGCATTCCTTTAAGTCAGGCATCATTTTTTTCGTAATAAAATCATGAAGAGTCAAACGCTGAGGTAATTGGAAAAAAAAACCCACATTAATAATAACTAAAATTGTATATAATGTTTGATAATTTTTAAAATCATCTGTTATTATCCATAGCAAGAACAATGTGTTTGCATAGCTTTTGGCGTACATGTAGTCACGAGAAGCGTGTTGCTTGTTTCTGACAGTATACAAGCATAAGCGTGCAGTGTCAGACAGCGTAGTCTAAAGGCATGTAATATTGATAATAACATAGATGTAACACAATAGCTTTTATCAAATGAGGTAATTCTTACAAAACTAAGAGATGTTGGTTTTTGTAATATTAGTTTGTATACTTGATGTTTAAATGAGCTGTGGTTTTAATCAGATCTGTCCTGGGTACATGCCTAAATATGGTCATGATGACATCACATCATGACCATGTAGACACATCATGACTATATATGGGCATACAACAGTATTTTGCCAAAGAAAATTTGATAGTGTGGACGGACCTTTAGACACCATCAGGTAAAATTAAAGTTTCTGACTGTTGTGTGTGTGTTGAGTCTGGTTTGTTTTTAATTACTCACCTCATTATGCATGGTGGCAGCAACATTGTACAGTTCCATCATCCTCATTGGTTTAGCTCCTAAGTCATTTTCCTCCATTGACAAACTAGTCTGCAGCAAGTTAAAACATCTATCCACATCCCCTGACTGCATCCTAAAAGAACAAAAATCCAACAGTGATAATTTTAAAGCTCTGTCCCCACATCAAATTTTCTTTGTCGAAAAAACTGTTGCATGCCCATATATAATCATGCTGTGCCTATATATGGCCATGATGTGATGTAATCATGACCATATTTGGGCATGTCACATGTTTTTGTCAAATAAAATTGTCTGGACAGTTATACCTTCAAATGGTCATGATAAAACACAGGTATTTTGTGTGAATTGGGGGAAAAAAAATATACTGTAGGTCTTAACAGAGTTGTTTTAGATGTGAGAATAAATCCTTCCATGTTGAACTCCTAGTGAGAGCATAGCAAAATTAAGTAAAAATTAAATCTTAATTTAAAAGTTTTGTCACACTATCAAGATTTGTGTGCCAAATACCTAAAACATGAGTGTGAAATTAAATTGTCACATCCATATATGGGAAAAACACAGATATTTGTCACAGAAATATTTATAGTGTGAATAGAAAGACAATGTACTTGATAGCAATGGGGTGGTAGCTTGGTGGGTATTAAGATGCTTGATGCCTTCCCATCCACTCCCTAGGTTCACTTGACACTTAGTTTTGGCAAAGTGCCCATATGAATACAATATTAATAAAAATACTCACACAACTCTGGCAACTTGCTCATAGTGTAGCGATATCTCTTCTTTGTCAACATTTGGGTTATTAGTCATGTTCTCCAAGTTTTCTTTATAGCAATCATATAATTCAGCCTTATCTCCGACCTATGATGCAAACAGCAAACACATGGATTATTAATAATTTCCTTTATTATTCAACATCTCCATCATTATAATAAAATAGCATTTAAAAATCATTAATACCTAGTCTGTTAAATTAAAGTGTTGGATGTCACAAGAAATGTAATTTTACCTTGTATCCCTTTCACATAAAATGTACATTTATCAACAACATGAGGATATTTTCATATATTCTATTAAGACCTAGTTTAAATAATTAATTTTAGCTTTTAACTGGACCAAAGTCAAGAATTTTATGTACATCTGCTTTAATTATAGAGTAATACAGTGTTACGTCACGATACCGCGTGATACTACTCCGTTGCTATCGTTGCAAAAAGCGTTCAACCAGGCGCCATTTTTTCCACTGACAAACCACTGATCCCAATTTCTAACGTAATTATTAAGATGTTGTATCTTACTTTTTCTTTGTAAATTTTAATTGATGGTTAAATGTGTGTATAATAACTACTATAATGCGAGTTTTTAGTACATTTTGATGGTAAAATATTAGATTTTAAAATGCCTACTCCAGAAAGCTTATGAAGTCATTTAGGCGTAATGAACGGTCACCAACGTCTGTTGAAAACAGAGAGTGCCACCTGGCGTCGTGACAACACGACTGTGGTACTCTATTCTCTTATTCTACTATCACCAATCATCATAACAAACAAAATCATTGTCTTTGCAGTGGTCCTTATTGCAGCCATCATCATTGTTATCATTATCTTTGTAAACACTAAAATATTTTACTTAAGGTCAACTCAGACAGCGTCATATGACGCAGCTTTAGACCATCATGAGAATATTAAACTTGTTTAATATTCCATGACGCGACTGTCCCCAACACAGACCTATCGCATCAGCGTTTAATCCGACAGGGACCCGACGCGTGTCAAACTGCATCACACAACACTGAGTTGGCCTTTAATCGTTGACTTACACTTCGCCAATAGGCCAGTAATTCTCCACTGAACTCGGGATGGTAAAAGTGATGGAAAACCCTCCACTGTTTCAAATACTCCTTCAAGCGGCCTTTGTCTTCACATATTGTCAAATGGTACGGGTACTCTTCACTCTGCCGATCCATGTTCTCTATTGTCTCAAAGTAATTTGCTAACACAGTGTGCCACCAAATGCTTTTCCATGAGTCAGTCTTGAAATATCTTTAAAATAAATGCCACATCAATTTTTTTTTTAATATGGAAAAAAAATATGGTCAAATATATCTTTCTTATTTCTAATAGGTGATTTAAATGTTAAAGATGCCTTTATAATAATTTGCCACTGAAATAAACAATCTTCTTACTTTGCACGGACTGCTTTACTCAGAGATCGGTGATAGAAATCCAATCGCCCTTCGCCACTGTCGCCAAATGGTCGCAGGAAGGGCTTGAGAACTCGGTACACTCTTGCCCATTGAGATGCCGACAACTGAACAGAGTTTCGTTGGTCATCTACAATAAATAGAAAGAGGAGGAACATTGCTAATTGTCAATTTATTAACAGCAAAAATGGTCAAGACACCATACATTATTAAAAGATGCACAAATGTTGATAAGCAAATTAAATGTGCTGTAAAACAGTTGAATAGCTTGGTGTTTAAAATGTTTGCCTTGCAATCCCAGGGGCCTGGGTTGAACTCCTGTGACAGAAGGATTTTATGTCTCACAGCTAAAACAACTCCACTCCCTGATTGTTAAGGCCAACTCAGACAGCATCGGCCGACGCAGCCCGACGCGATTTGTTGTCGCGTCGGGTCTGTGTGAGTTGAACGCAGACGCGATGGTGTGCGTCGGTGGCAGTCGCGTAGTAGAATATTAAACATGTTTAATATTTCTCACGACGGCTTAAGACTGTCCCCGACGATAAATCGGGTCGGGCTGCGTCGGCCGACGCTGTCTGAGTTGGCCTTTAGACTTTAGGCACGTTCAGACAAGTCAGAAGTAAGCTTTGAAGTAGCAGTTTACTTGTCGTAAGCCCTGGGTAGTGCCCGTGAAGATGCTCTTTGTATTAAGTTACTTCAACGTTACTATAGACGAATTACTCCTGAGCAGTCACAGGAGTAAGTGTGCTACTTCCGCGTACACAAGAAAGATAAAAAATACGCGCACGGAGTAGCGCTGTGTGTAGGACACATTTACTTCAGAGCTCGCAAGTAAATGCGACCTTTATTTTGACCTCAATTATTTTCAAAAGATAAATACTGTACCTACAAATGAGTGCCAAAATAACATTTCCTGTGATGTGTAAGCCTTTGTAGACACGATGTTTTCATAATTGTATACAATTCAAAAAAAAAAAATATGTGCAAATTAACCGTTAAGATACAGCAAAGTGGTGACTATCACTTCCGGAAAATTTGCATAGTTACTTCTAAGCTTTGAACTAGTTGTCTTGGGTAAACATCGTGTGGACACAAATTTTACGTTTGTCATAACTTTAATTCAGACGGATGGTCATCTGAACATAAATTTTGTTATTAAAAGCATAACTGGACCCTGTGGGAGAACAGTAGATATCTACTCAACAGGATACCCAGTGTAAAGAAGAAAAATTAAATTAAATTAGAGGATTACTGAGGCTAAAAAAACATTTCTTACCACTCTTTAGATTTTTTAGATTTTTGGAAGGAGTCAAATTCTTTTGGTTTCCAAGGATCATCAATAGTTCCCTTTCCAGCAGACCGGTCTTGGAACATTCAAGAAGACAAAGTGTGGCCACAACTACTTGTCCTCCATTTTCTTCTTCAAATCGACTAAGAACGCTTTCCAAAAGGCTGGAATATGGAAATATAAACAGCTTAAATTGATCATCTTGTAATGTACTAGTGATGGAAAAACTGAAAAATTTTACAAGCTCAAATCATACAGTGCAAACACAGTAATCTGTATTCTAGATTCAGAATTTCAGTTTTATTTGTCCAATATTGAAATAGCAGTGAGTGCACTTTCAAGTCATTTAAAGTTTATAAAAAAATAACATTCATGCAATTATCATTATCATTTATTATATTATAAATATGGTTATCTTTTATTCATACATTAAAAACATGGTACCATTATTCTTAAATAAACAATAATCAGAATCACATCATACAGTATATTCATTTATACAGTACAAACATTATCAATATTTTTAATTTATGATGTTAATTAATATACAGACATTATTTTTAATTCATTCAAAGTACATATTAATTAAACATTAATCTGTACAGAGGCATACCATATAATTTCATTCTTAAATAATAAAGTACAAATACAGTATCATTAGTTTTCATTCATACAGTACTCATACAGTATCATTATTTTTCATTCACACAGTAAACATACAGTGTCAATATTTCTCATTCATGCAGCACACATACAATATTATTATTCTTCATTCATACAGTATGCATGCATTATCATTATTCATCACTCATACAGTACACATACAGTATTATTATTCCTCATTCATACAGTACACATACAGTCACTCATACAGTACACATACAGTATCATTAATATTATTATTCCTCATTCATACAGTACACATACATTATCATTATTTTTCATTTATATAGTATAGGTACAGGATTTTTTATTCATATGTTAACTAATTCAGCATCATTATTCTTCATTACTGCATACAAAAAAACAATATCAGTATTCATAACATACCTGAGTAGTCCATCAGGAAGACTCGTAATCTTTTTGGAGAGTTTCTCAAAAAGTCCATACACACGCAGCTCCTCGCACGCAATAGACAACCACAGAGGATTCTGGGATGACTCCTTACTCAATAAACTCGACATCTGTTCTTCATCAAGTTTCTTGTTGTATTTTCCAAGACTTTCAACAACAATTGCCTGAAAACATATTAGTAGTGTATTAATACAGGTCAGATAACATATTTTTCCCCTCTAGGGTCCTTCTTTTGTTTTGCACTGTTGAAGCTTGTCAACTACTGTGGTAGTCAATGACAGCCACTTGTTCTGTTGATTCAGAACGGTTAAGAACTTTATTATTAGTACAGTATCAGTATGAATAAAGTATATTCAACCAAAATATTTTATATTTATTATACAGTGCACATGCAGTATTTTTATTCATCGTTTTTGACGCAGTATGAATACGTATATTTTTTCATTATTCTTATATTATAAAGTGAGAATTTAACATGCATACAATATTTTAATGCAATATGAATACAGTATATTTGTTCATTATTCTTATAGTATAAAGTGAGAATTCAGCATGAATACAATACACAGTAACCTTCTTCAACATACATACAGTATATGGTATGAATATATAGTATCTTGTCCATCATTTATACATGGGAAACAAGATACAGTATAAACACGGAATATCTTTTTAATATCTAATATCCACAAATGAATGTTCATTGCAGTAAAAAACTTTCGGAGTATTTATATAGTATGTATTGACATACATTGACATTGACAGTGACAGTGTAAGAATATCCTACCTTTCTTGAAGACATATCCAAAGGTGTTACAAAGAGCTCAACTGGTTTATGTTTGCGGCTTTTTAGAGTCTTATGCTGAGTGGTTTCATCAATCATCGAGAACACACAACGAACTTGCGGAGATAATTTGACCGGCAACCAATTCAAGACAGTAGACTCTTTACACTCATCAAACTGGAGAGGAAAAAAGATTAAATGCAATCAAAAATTATCTTTAAATGTAATTGCAGTGGCAGATCCACAAGGTTTGAAAAAGAGGGAAACTGGGAAGGAACTTTACAGATGGGGAGTAAAGACCCCCTCAGACATGGTTGGGACTGAGGTATGCCAATTAGACCAATTTTCAGGCAGGAGATTTTGTTTTAAACTGGCCACTGAATTCACCCCTGGTTCATCCAGGGTAGTAGAGATGGAATAACATGAAGCAGAAGATGCTTTGATAGTGAATTGCTAATTACAGTACTTTATTCGAGTCATGTTTTCATTCCTTTGTAGCTGTTATAATTTGAGAATGTGTACCTGATTGAGGGCGTCAATGATGATGATGACCGGCTTTGTGTTTGGACTTGACAAGGCACTACATGTCACCTGACAAGTTGTCTCCAAATCCTTTGGCATCTTGCTCTCCTGTTTCAAAAGATAATACATTTACATTTGAGATTCTATTCTTGAATGGTAATGACCTAAATACATTACATATATTACAGTATAATTCTGTACATTAGGCCGACCGGCCCTCCTTAAACTAACGTTAGAATACCGCACTTTCGGCGGTAAAGAACAATTAAAACCTCATAAAAAAGGCAACTAATCCGTTTACCCATAATTGAATCCAAGGACACCAGTGTTAAACACTCAGTACTTTATTTAGTTCCTTTTCTGTGCTGCATATAACTGATGAAACACTTTCAGAAGCGCCATGAGCGTCATATTTGGCGGATACCGGCGCTATATAAAAGTTCTATTCTATTCTATTCTACTTATCCTTGATAATGTGTTAATCCAATTTAATATAGTGAGATAACGTAACGTTAGTTTATCGAGGGCAGGTTGAGCTAATGAATGATATAAATAGTTAATCTGACTAAATCTTTTTTAAGCTAACTTAAAAAAATTGTCAGGAGGGATCAATTTAAAACTAGTTTCAGATTTTATTTGACATTGCTATCAGAGTGATCAAGTCTCCTTCATCAGATGCGTAATCCTTCAAACTATTCAATCAAGCAAGCCAACCTTGATCTGGTGACTTGCTAGCATATTTATCAAAATTTTGTAATTGCAAGAGCAAGTAATAATAAAAATTAATAATAAATAATAAAAATAACAATTAATGAATAATAATTGAGGTGCATTCCATTCAAATAAAATTGTTTTGCAGTATATATCTGAATTACATGATTTTAAATTTTAATATAATCTAAAATTATGAAATTCAGATACATGATTTAAAATTTAATATAATTTCTGTTTATGTACAGTAACGTAAAAAAGGAAAGGCAGGAAAAAGTCTTACATTGATGACATTCATTTCTTTGAGAAGTCGTTTCAAACAAGCTTCCAAATCAGGCGAACCAGGTATGGCTCCAACGAAATGGTAGAACACATGCCAGCCCTGATCAGGTGACCTGAAAATGTGAAATCACATGATAGTTAAAAAGCAATTACATTGATTATACATTGATTATACATCATTATCAGTATTACATTAATGACAAAGTTTTGCATACTTGAAACTTACTAAATTATAATATAAGAAATGCTTAATTTTTCTTACCCGGGTATTTCCATAGACATTGCCTTAGCAACAGTAACCTCAGCAACTCTTGCCATAATTGAAGATTTTCCTGTGCCTGGCCCTCCAAGTAATAGCAATGGTTTATCAACACCGACACCAATAATATGCTGTTTGATCTATAGGACAAAAATCAAAATACTGAAAAAAAGGCTTATATTTTCTATTCACCTTTAAGTGTATTAAATGACCTAAGAAATGGACTGCATCATTTCCCAAAGAGGGTGTTCTGATTGGCTACAAGATATTACATACAGAGTGAAAAAATATTGAGAAATGGGAGTGGTATATTGAGGTTGACTATTCCAGACAACTAGTAACTAAAAATTTTAATAAAGAAACATTTTTTTAAATGGGAGGAGCATAAAATGTGGCTTGTTCCATATTCTTAGTAAATACTTACTTCTTCCAAAATATCATTCCTTCCAAGAACCAATGAGCTTCTGTTTCTCATGAATGACTGAGAATAAATTAGGAGGAAAAGGTTAGAATTCATATAAAATATTGGTGCAAGATTTTATATTTTAAATACATTACAACATTATAGGAGCATTGCAAGTAGAGTTTTTTAAATATGGTAAAAAATTTGAAATAGCTACTAATAAACATGAATACAAATAAAAAAAAAAAAAAATTTGGAACACTGATATCCCAATATTCATTTTTATTTGGTCTAACATGTTAAATAACTTTTGCCCTATACTGAGCAGAATCAAAACCTATAACCTACTGCATACAAAATGTCATGTCCTGTAATGAAACAAGAACATAGTTTACGTACCTCATGACTTTCCATGACTTGTCGATAAGGATCTGTAGTCACATCCTCCAGTGGATACTGCTCCTCAATACGGGATTTAAAAAAATCAAATACCTGGAATGAAAGTAAATAAAAACAAAATATAACTTCTATGTGCTCAACAGTAAAAGCAATGCCTCTCCACACATTTAAATCAATAAAATAAAAGAATAGAATTATTTACCTTGATAATACCTTGTACTGTACTCATTTTTATTTTTTTTTTTTAATGTTTCTACATGCTAAACAAGCATTAGTAAAAAAATTGGCTTAATAAGAATGACTGACTGACTTCTGGTATGACTGATTGATTGATTGATTGATAAAAATTCTAAAATTAATATTAGAGAGAAATTTACAACATACAACCATTTCAATGACACATGGTCATCTGGATCTCTGAACATCTCCGGTGGTACATCAAAGCATTTAAAATTATTTTATAATTTATCATTACATAAATTAATTACTGAAAATGAACTTACCATTTTTGAAAACTCCTCAAGACCTTTCAACTCTATCTTGCCATCACCGTCTACACCATCATATTCACAGCTATAAAACTTTATTTGATTGGACTAAATGACAAACGACAACAAAATAACTCATAATATGAATGTCACCAGAAGTACAAGAGAATGAAATGAGGTGAGGTTTAATTAGAAAGTCAAATATAAAGGGTCATTGACAAATCGGATATTAATGGACTAATGTGTCAAAATTTAAGAATAATTCAAAATAATAATATATTACATTTCAGTAAAGTTGGAAGAACTACAACACAGCTTTTAAATTTCTTTGGACATAACATATTTTAAAGCATCTCAAAACAGCTTCAAATAACACAAAATTGTCAATTTTTCTTTAGGTGCCAGAAGTCTTAGCCGCTTGGACCCCATCAGGTTTGTTGGTGTAGCTCCCTCACTCTGCTGACCTCCAAAAAAAAAAAAACATGATCATGCATTGGGCAAATTCTGGCATCTTAACTATTTTAGATACATCATTCTGTCCAACAACTTTGAACAGCAAAGACGTCTACACCAACAAACTGTTGGTGTTATTCATATATTTGGTTTTTTTATTTTTATGCAAAACTTATTACTTACCAAGAATCTCTCTTTCAACATCTGCTTAAGAACCTTCAGTTTCTCAGGAGCAATTGGGTTCACATCAACCAGGTCATTTTTATGCTTTTGAGGAACACTTGTCAGGAACGCTGCGACAGGAAATAACCAAGTTAATGTTCTTTTTTTTAATTTGGGCTAATGTAGAAAAGTTACTAAAAATCAATATTAATTAGCTACCAGAAGGAAAAGAAGTTTTTCTGATATTTTACAGTAATTTAATTGCATGCTATACAAGATTACATGGCATCATTAAAACACATGCAGCTATTATACACTAGTGGCTTTTCATGAGCAGACATCATGATAAATTTATGAGCCCACATTTCATTCATCCATAAAAATGCAAACATCCATGATCTGGCTGTGATGCAGTGATGATCCACATTGTGATCTGTACAGTACAAGCTGACTGACCAATGAAATTCAATGTTTATTATGAAGCATATTACAATGGAAGTTTCTGAGATGTCAATCAAACTGACCAATCAAAATTTGTTATTCAACAGGTCAGGCCCCGACAGGAATGTGTACAAGTCACTACCATCACAAATCACAGAACTTTTACGACCGCATATACTCAGCAATGTTTCCTTATGAAATGACTCTCGCTTTGTGGGACCTTAGCAAAAATATCTAAAAGATGGGGGGGGGGGTTTAGTGGAACGGTCCATTATGATGAGCATGGAGCAACTTATGAAGAGTACCGACAACAGTGAGGGGTGACTGTCAAGTTTTATGATCAAACTCCAGAATTAAAAAAACGAATATGTTCCGGTAATTAGTTTAATTAAAGAAAGTTAAATTAAGTGTATCCTGAGCGGATGCGGGGGTACCACAGACGAAAGCTCACAGTAAGTTTACATAAAATTGTGCTTGGTTTATTATTGATTAAACAGTTCTACAATCAGTATAAGAAAACAAGATGAAACTTTTTGAATGTCTACTATTTTTAGCATTATGAACTTACAGGTAGTACCGGTAAGATTTTTAAAGTGTACCGGTAAGATTTTAAAAGTGTGAGAGTGCAATTTTCGGCCACCTAGAGGTCCATATTCTCAAAATGTTCTCCTCTCAGCTCCAACCATGGTGGGGCTGATGTGATGTGGATGCTCTGCATCCTCTACCAGCAAATCCCGCATCCGCCCCAGATAATTAATATATTCAGTAATAACTAAAAACCAGCCAATATTCTAAGCTCCTGGCATAAGTTTAGAAAGTTCTTTTTTCGATTAAAAAAATGTGTTGAAATATAGTGAATTAAAAACTATGGGACTTTACTATAAGAAAGCAAAATTAACTATATTTAGTATTAAAAAAAAAAAAACAACCTTTCTTCTAAAGTCTTGGCATGCAGTTAGAAACAGCTTTCATTGAGAAAAAAATGTTAAAGTACACTGAATTAAAAACTGCTACGGGATTTTAATTATAAGAAAGTAAAATTAAGTATGCTTCATTAATAACAACTAAAATCAACCAGATGCTAAGATTCTGACAGGCAGTCAGTCATGTAAAGAGTGAGATACCATTGAACAGGGAGCACATTTCAACATTGTGTATCTTCAATTCTGACATCAGATACTATTCTACTTTCATCAGATTTAATATTTTCTGTTGGGATAGACAGATAAAAATGAAAAACCGTATTTATTTGAATAAACGCCCGCTTTGAATAAATGCACCCCTCCCCAATAAATTCCCCCACACCCCAATCCCAATAAACTCATTTGGAATAAAGGCCTCCCTCATTTTCCTTGAATAAATGCCCTCCTTCCCAACTAAATGACAGTAAACAAGTATAATGGAAGCAACATCACTCTCAACACATTCTATTCCAGTATTACAATTTTTCTAACCTAGTTGGGATCAATAAGTCTTTTTGATCATTGCAATAACACATTCTGACAGTAATTATGTGTTGTAGTTCCACATTTACAGTGAAACTAAGGGACATATATTTGAGTATACGTATGCATTTTACACCAAAAAAACATCCCTCGAATAAACACCCCCTCAAAAACCCTTCTCAAACATAAATGCCCCAGTGTTCATTCGAATAAATACGGTAGATAACGGCTTTAGGTAGAAGGTATATAAAACTTGATTGATTGATTGATTGATTGAGAGTAGATGTATGATCCCGAGATTCTATGATAAAAATGTTATCAGAATAAATAGAGCATGCAAATTATTAGTATATTATCATAAAAAAATAATAATAAGGCCAACATGAACCATGTATAAAAGATATAATGTGCTCTACCTTAATAACAATTTTGTGCCTACAATATTCTTTACCTTTTCCCATAGCAAAAGATCTTAATAAACTTTGTAGATGTAATATTTATTTTAAAATTGATCTAATTCTCATAGCTTACAATTTACAGTAGGCATATTGTTCATTGTTTGCAGTTGTATAGAATTATTATTATTATTATTATTATTATTATTATTATTATTATTATTATTATTATTATTATTATTATTATAGTACTGAAATAATGTGGAATTGGTTTTTATTTGCTAGTTATTTATTTTATTATAACTAGCCACAAAAGCTGAAAAATGTACTTAAGCCATTTTCACTTCCAGGCGCATTACATTGGGCTTACTCGACTGGTTCATTTTGTTGACTACCATTTTTTATTGAGTATTATTTTCATTTGACTAGTTCGTAAAGTAGACTTCGCTGACGACGAAAATTAACTTAAACCAGAGTGCGTTAATCAGCGCTAAGTTATCCATGTGAAAAAATAAACATGGCTGATTAGTAAGTTTAGCAACAACATTTGCGTTAATATAATTTAGATTAAATTCAGAAAATAAAAATTATAATATTTACCACCATGAAGTCAAAAAATAATTGTATGCTAAAAACTGGATGAAAATATTTTTTTACGAAAAACCCATACTACCACAAGCCGAAGCAACCTTTATTACGCAGCGTGTATCGCGGTAACTATGCAGCCATTTTGTTTTGTTGAGTATTTACTTGTTTTCTATTTGACTGGTCATATTTTTTAAGTAGGATTCCTTAAAAATTCTTTATGCACTGTGTTTAATGTGGCAATGGATTTTTGTGGAATATATACAATATGAATATCAGTGCAATTTGTATTGTGAAAAAAACAGTATAATTTTATAAGTTTACATTGAAAAAACAAATATTAAAATTTGTAGCAATAATTGATTCAATATTGATCTTTTAATATCGAAACAAGAACTATCAAAATATAATTTGAATATCTGTACTTGTGTTATATGCAGTCTATGTATGTCTCTAATGCTAAGATTTTTTGCTATGGATTGAAAATACTTCCCTTTAATTTTGAAAAGAATTATAAATTCTCAAACAATGTCATATGATTTAAATTGATTCATAACTGCTATGGTGTCCATTGTTTAGTAGCCTAAAGACAGTGACAGTTGCTAAAACTGTTGCTAAGGTAGGCAAATAAAATAATTTTTCTCATTTCAAAAAAAATGATTAATGATATGAAAAATGAAATTCAAATATAAATAAAATAACCTATGTGTTTTCTAAGGATTATGGGTAATTATTTTGCTCTATACCAGCAAGTGCAAGCAACTTGATGGCAGGCAATAAGTTTAATAGGTTCACTTACGACATTGATTCCAGCATTGTAGTAGAAAGGTTTACACTGAAATAGTACACAGTATCATGTCACGAATAGGAATCAACATATTATATCAGCCAGTTAGATATAAAAAAAAAATGCAACCACTGAAAACATTTCTTGAAATTGAACACTAAAAATTAATAGCAATAACTTATTCTGATATATAAAAGGAAACACACAATTATACAAAACAATATTTAATAAATTAATTTTTTGATTATTTATTAGGTTTATTTCATTATTTTCTAGGGGTGCATCTCTTGAAAAAAATAGCATAAGTTGGTTTATTGATGACGTAAAGGATCCAGAAAATAGACATAGAGGGAATACTCTAAAGTAGTTAATATACGAACAATTAATGTTGTCTCTATGATAATCTTAATAATTACTTTAAAAGTGATGAGCAGTATAGAATTAAATAATAATAATAGCTAAAACAGTTAATACTTTGGTAGGTTTTTTAGATATAAAAATCATGAAATATAGATTTATGACAAATGTTCCATCATTTCTCACCTGGTAAGATTCAGAAAAAATGGCATGATGTTGTCTTGATAACAACGATCAATCTCACCAAGGCACACCCTTAATGTCTCTTCTGTTGTTGAATCAACTGGCACCCCCTACATAAAAAACACAGACTGATTGAGGACATGAGGAGTGCAAACAGATTAACTGTAGTAGAAGAATTATAGTAGGAACGGTTGGCAGTGTGGCTGATGTTCAGGCTTTTAAATCCATGCTGTAAGTTTTACTTGTTTCTTTGAGCAAGAACCTTTTCCTATTTTTGCCTCTATCTACTGTAACTAAGAATATAAATGAGTATCCAGTAGGATGATGCGTTATTAAATGTATTAGTTCCATGCACTGAATGTGGCAGCACAACTAGCTTCCCCAGGGGTCAGAGGTCGTACCGTGGAACTTCAGAATAATTTCTGCACTTTGTGCTGGTTTATTCATCCAATGATCAGGAGAAATATTGCCCTGGTGCCTTTGATAATTATTGGTTTGGAAGTGTCGCCAAGATAAATTCATGATATTAATACTGTGATGTTAACATCATCATTGTTGGTAAGCCTTGAATTTATCATAGATAGTGTCATCATCATGAGACTGATGATCTTCAAAACAAATAAAAAGAATGTGCTTTATAAGCAGTGGTAAAGCATTTAGATTTAGAAAATTTTCAGATAAAACTTCCACAAAAGAAATGATATAAAGAGTGCACTGCAGGAATCCAATTTTTTTTAGGTATTCTGATTATTTGATGAGGTGCTGTTTTATAATAATGTTGTGTTGTCATACAATACTCACCCATCGTAAATCACAATCCACAAGATGCAATCGTCTACTCTCACACCATTGCCGCAGATCAGGAAACACCTTAAAAAAATTAATGAAGGCAATGCAAAAGATAATAAAAATCCACCACATTTTACAAATATGATGATTATAGTAAACTAAAAGTAAAAAATATAATTTCTATTTTTATTTTTTACAATTGTCATCTATTAACAATAATAATACTGAAAATTTATACAGCGCCGGTATCCGTTAAGGAGAAAAGGTTCACAACGCCCCTCCGGAAGAAAGTCAAAAAATTAAAATAAAAGAAAACTATATGAAACCAGAAACAGTTTATGAACCAGAATAACAGTATATATTACATGAGCCGTACTTGGGTGAGCGTCACTCTCTCTATGTGGCCATGTATACACACAATTAATGTGAAAGTTACAAATCAAGACATACTAATATTTTTTTTAACATATTTTAAAATAATTTTTTCTTTAATTTTTTACCTCTTTAATCAGTGTTTCTCTTTCAGCATGAAAATCCCTAAAGGTTGAGGATACAAATATCCGAACAGTCTTCCATCCGGAGCGTTTGACTACAAGTTTGCTGTTTGGTCGTTTACGCACTTCAATCGTCCTCTCCACCTGGTTCCATGTGTCATTAACAGAAATTGCATATCCGCCAGCCACTGCATTCGATGCCCCGCAACCCATCTTGTAATCTCACTAGAAACTAAAGGATTGATTGAAATTTAAAAATTGTCACATCATGTTTTTTAGAATATGATGCACTTTAATTATAATCTGGACATCTATACAAGTATATAATTTTATGATGCTCAAATCGCTTTGACTATTATTTTAGGGCCTATGGCTCTATATCAAGTACCATGAAGAATTTCCATTTTATTTCTACTGTATACAGAAAGACATAATGATAAAACAGAGATACAGTTGAACTTGCATTAATAAGTTCAATCCAAAATGGCATTGAAAAATCATTTGACTTACATAAAATCTGACTTATTACAGATCGTTAATTGATGGAAAACACAACAATTTGGCAAAGATTGACTTAGAAATTATTTGAGTTCGGCAAAGTTGACCTACGCAAGTTTTAACTGTAATTATATAATTATAAAACTTCAGTTATCAATAAAAGTCGAATTAAATATAAACTTTGAGAATGATGGTACGCAAAAACATACTTTCTTTCCATTGTTTTGCCTCAGGCGTTTTGGCTGAGTCTGTTTCTGTGATGACTTGATTGTATTTAGCCAAATAGTTTGTATAGGTAAAAACTTATTTACCTGCTGTGGTGCTGTGATTGTCTCTGTTTCAAAAGTTATTATTTATCTTTTTAAATTTACAGTTGTGTGTCTGCCTTATTTTTTTTCTCTTTTTACCTAGTTTTATTGAACTTTTACAATCAAGACATTACAATCTTACACCGTACCCGCATACCAAGGTCCAAGAAGGAGGTGCTACAAAATAGTCTGTAATACACCATCATAATTTAAATATTGTAATATTTATGTTAATGATGATGGTGTTGTTTCTGCCTTCTATTTTGAGTATTAATAAATAGAGACAGATGATAGATATTAGTATGGATTCAGCTAGGCCTAGACTACTACTAGGCCTAGATCATCAGGTATTTCCTCCTGGCTGGCTGAGAATACCAAGCACTTTCATTTAAGTTAATTAAACAATTATTATCATACTCATTTACGATAAACTTACTTTATTCTATGAAATATTATTCCTTAAAGTAGAAATAATATAATAAATACAGCTTGTTTTCGGTCCGAATTACTTCAAACGTCAAGCCTAGACTCTAAGCGAGTAGGTAGGACTCCGGACTGAGGAGGAGCGCCGCTTGACTGCCTTCTTCAGTTGCCGATCTTTGTTCCTGGCCTCCTTGTTGTCATGATCACACTGACACAAAATAAACAAACTGGGGCGGCAGAGGCTTGTATTATTATTAATAATAGGCCCCTAGGCTGGTTAGCTAGGCCCAGGCCTAAACAATTGGCTCACTAGCCTAGGTTGTATTATATTCTAGAAGACTACTTTGTAATGACAGCCTCTTATTTATTAGGCTAGGCCTGTCCTGACCTGACGCAAAGCAAAGCCGACCAAAACAAAACGTCAAAAAAACCAAAACAAACATAATTGATTGCATGTACCAACAAACGAACAAGCATGAAAGATAAAGATTCGTCAAAAGAGGGCGTTAAGCGACGCCATTTCTAACATTTGTTTCCTGGTACGTGATCGATGCGAGGACGCAATTCGTGATTGTCGTAAAACTGTATGTACGAGAAATCCAGTTGAATCAGTTAAATTTCAACAATTTTCCACGGTATTCTACAATCAAGCCACGTATTAGATGTATAGTGATGTATTATTTGCTTTTTTGCATAACAAATTTTTATATTCGTGTACTAAAAATGATAATTTAAATAGGAGTCTGTCCTGCCTATTAAAACTGGATAGGATAGGCCTAGGCTACAGTAGCTATGCCTGATGATAGACGATGTTGATTTTAAAAATATTACACAAATCAAGGTGGTATAAAGAGTGTTGTTGACTGCAGCTGAGTGCAGTGTACAAAAAGTAAAAAGTTGTAAAAACACATTGAAAATCCACAAATTTACACCAACCAATGTGGAAATTAAATATTAACTGCCTACTGTAGGCCCCCAACCAAGTACAGTAGTTGTAATATTAATAAGCATTTTTACCTGTATTGTACTTGGTGAGTAATGCCGTGTAGCACATCCTTCAATATGGCTTATTACTGGCCCAGACACCATCATCAATCATCTCATTCATTTTGATTAAACCTTACTATTTTAAATAAAATGACAAATTGATATAAACAAGCTTTGCAGAATAACCCTTGACCTACTGACTTCTGACTGTTGTTTACTGTAGATTAGGCCATGGAGGAATTATTAAACTAATTTAATATTAGATTAATTTATTTATACTTAACTGCCACAGTCATAAAAAGAAATACACTATGATAAAAGTAAGAAAATTATCTGAACTATAATTTTAATCATATGCATCAGCAGTGCAGATACTTTAAGTATCAGACCTGCCAACCCTTGGGTCATGAAAATCTGGAGATTTTTTTAAAAGAATCATAAAAAAATCTGGAGGTTTCCAGAATTTAACCATAAGATGATGCAAAATACCAAAAAAGTCACGTCACTACAAATCATTGGCTGTTGGTGGCGACATTCGAATTGAAAACGGCTGCTTGTTTATTGCACTGCGAAGCGAGCAGGCAGCGAATACATTGAATAATAATGATCAAATCAATCAAATTACGCATAAATCGGAGTATTTTTGGAGAGGGAGGGTGGCCTGTGAAATTGGGTGAAAATTACATTCGATCGAGAGAACTGGAGATTTGTTTAAATATCGGGTGACACCCAACAGGATTGGGTGAGTTGGCAGGTCAGAAGTATGAATATCTTGGAACGAAATTTAAAATACCGTAAAACCTGTAGAATTGAAGCCCAACGGGCTTAATCTCAAGATGAAGTCCATCTCGAATTGAAGCCAGTGGCCTATTCACAGGTATGTGATTTAATGGCAGTTAAATCCAGTCCATGATACAGATTGATGTTACAGTGGCCTTTTTTTTTTTGCTTTATAGGATAAATTCACAAAATTTACAGCATTCATTTTGAAAACAAGGCCTTCCCCCCCTCCCTCTTTACTTTGCAAAAGTAGCCTCGAAAAGAAGCCCATCTTGAAAAGAAGCTCATCTCGAAAAGATGCCCATCCAAAGTTCGGAATAAAAATAAGCCCAGGGCTTCAATTCAAGGTTTTATGGTAGTACTGGCATAAACTTTGATTTTATGAAAATGTGTACATCTGGTCAATTCATGTCAGATCTCAATCTGTACCATACTTCATATAATAGATTTTTTTTCTAAGGTAGTTGGAATATTGGCTGTGCTGCACAGTTAACAAAGCATTAAACAATACCGCCCTCTTTTTTCACAGCTGCGTTTGGTTGCCGAGAACAAGATCTTGCAAACATACTGATAATTCTGCGTGCGCTCCTTGCAAAACCTGAGCAGGTAAATGTTATATCTGAAAATCAACTGTTGCAAATTAAAAGAATGTAAACTGCTGCTTACTACGTTGCTTTCAATATAAAGGGATCTCGTTCATGATATACTTCAGCAATGTTCTATACAGACTTTATATTTATAACTTCACATTTTCCGAACTGAATAACTTCTCTTCCCTTCATTCTTTTCCTGTCATTTTCAAATTGAATACAAAGCATACCCGTTCCTGTCGCCCCACACACCATGATAGACTACTAAAATAATAATGTTATTTTCCAATCATCAATTTTTGTAGTGCACTTCCAGAATTTTGTTTAATCCTGAAAATGATTTTTTTTTAAAATATTAATGACTACTTTTAATGAACATTAAATTCTTAGATTTTCCAATACCCATGTAAAAAAAAAAGGGAATTCTGTTTACATTTCTTAATATCAATACTGTACATTAACAATTTTAAATTTGGTACTTTGTGCTAAATGTCTGTTTTCCTTATTATTCTTGCTTTAATTTGTAACATTTTAAATATTTTGCTTTTGTTGACATATCTATCTTCAGCTGCGAATTTGTATGTTCTGTTTTCCAGTTGCGCCAGCTAAGTTGTGCGGCAGCAAACCCATCTAAAGCATCGGCGTCACCAAACAGAGCCTTAGAAGGCAAGCAAGCGCAGAGCTATCACTGCTATATCCAGCTGAATGCCAAAATCAAAGGAAATGGAGGAAAGCAATAACGAGAGCAATGACATTTGCCGCGACTTTCAGCGTAATGTGTGCACGCGCGGCAAAAATTGTAAATATCGACACCCTGACAACGGAGTACAAAGCGAAGGTGTTTCCGTGTTCTGTCACGACTATCAAAACCGTGAATGTCGCCGCATAAACTGTAAGTTTGTCCATTGCTCTAGAGAGGAGGAAGAATACTACCGTGAAACTGGGAAACTTCCACCTGGTGTTGAAGATAATCGACTTGGCAACAATTATGACCCAGACGACATTCCAATCTGTCGTGATTACTTGAAGGGAGACTGCTCTCGCGGAATGAAATGCAAGTACAGGCATATAAGCCAGGGCGACTACGAGTATGAGCAGCGAATGCGCCGCAGAATGAAATACATGAATGTGCAAAGAGATACGTATGACTCAAGGCCACCAAGCTTTGATGAGTACGAGTATGATCGCATGCGACGTCGCTACACTTCATCTTATGACATGTATGGCTTCGATAGGGATAGAATGCTCCCTGGTAGGGACTCCTCAAGAGAACTTGAGGAGGAGAATTTCGCTCTTCGAAGGCGAGTTGAAGAACTGAAAAAGAAGGTCAACGACTTAACTGCTGCGAATGAAGTCCTTCTAGATCAAAATGCATGCTTGCGAACACAGCGAATGGGGGGACAGGCCTCCGCTGTGAAAAGTCAAGCGACGCATTCGTTAAACAACTCAACAGCCATTCTGTCTCATGCAACAGCATCCACGCCCGCTATGATTATAGGTCAGACCACTGCTATCGGGCAGGATGCTACAGCTGTTGCACTTGCAGAGCAGAACCAGCTTCTTGCACCAGGTCTGACCAGCAGTTTGACGACCGGTCTTACCACTGTGTCTATGGGTTCAGCGATGGCACCACAGGTGCAAGTCCCACTCAGTGTTCCTACATCGATGGTATCTTATCCCATAGTGTCCCAGGGAATTCACAATGCTCTTACTCAAAGCTCCATGAGTCGATAGGTCTTGGAATTCTTGCTAGAATTCAATATTTGCTAATCGTTAAAATTGCTTCACAAGCTCAGTGCGTTCAAACCTATGATAACAATAAAACCTTTCATTGTTAACATTTTGTAGAAATGCCTTCATTATTTATTAAGGTATTATTTTAATTATAATCTTGGATTATTCTACTGTATAATGTAAAAGGCACAAAATTAACAGGTTTCAATTCTGCATATTACGCACTGCAAAATATTAATTGATCATATCACAAATACTGTACTACTGCATATTTGATGCCATTTTCCTCTTAATATTAAGATGGGTTTGTATTCTTTAGCCTAGCATTTGTACAGTAATGTACCTGTACAGACGAATGTTTAACTCGGTTTAGTACTGTACAGAACTTTAAAATGCCTTTGCATAAACTTTTAATCTGGCAATTGTACTAAATACTAGTTTAATGATTTTTATATTTTACCACTATTGATAGAACAAATAAGAATGTACAGTATACCATTTCGGTTTTCATTTGATCATCATTCTTTGTTGCATTTATGTTGATTATTTTCTTCGACAATTAAAATGACTGGATTGTTAGGGTTATTTTATGTACATTAGTGGACATTCTTTGTATTGAAAATGCTCTTCAACAGCTACTGTGTACAGTAGTAGCTATGAATTATTACAAAACAATGTGTGTTTTTGACATTTTCATGTATAGTGCATTCTATCTTAATGAACATGTATAGATGCAAGTTAACCAACAGCCAATTTCAGGACCGAGAGCTTGTGTATGTAAACAAACATAAGATGAATATTCTAGCCAAAAAGAAATATGTGATGTTCTCTCTTAATGTGATTCCTGCACTTGTATGTGGTCCCTGCACTGTGATCCATACTCCTATATGTGCAAGTGTTTTGCATGATCACTTAATATTAGATGAAGTTCTTAAAGTAGTTGCTTGATACATAAGTATTTTCATTTGTTTCTATTTGTCACTAGTAAGGATGTTGACATTTGTTATAATTGCATTCTATTCTGTTCTGTATAAAATATACCCATTTGCAAAAGTCAAACTAACTTTAAAGATCACAAATATATACAGTATGAATTGTGAGTGTTGTAGCCAACAATGTTTGTAGTATGTCTGGGGTACAGGCTTGTCAACTAATAAACCGTTCAGTGTCATGTATATTGCTGTTATGAATTATAGCCTTAAGGAATTGCTAATGTTCGTAATGAATGCTGTTATCCTATTAAAATTCCAAATCTGTCGGTACCAAATGAAGTCTTATGAAAGAATTTTGATATTGCAGTACTGTACTGTTCTGTTTGTACTGTTCTGTTTTAGTGTTTCTGTAGCAATTATGCATATTGCTCGAGGTTGCCCTGTTTTTTGGGTTTTTTTCAAAACCTTTGCTTTGTGTGATAGTTTATGTTTTATCTCTCTCGACGACTTGTTTATTACGTTAATTTGATATGATTTGTTTTCAACTGTTAAAGATGGTTTCGGAGTTAAAATGTCGCCAGATATACAGCCATTCCTTCCACACAGAAGGAATTAACTGAAAAGTCACAAGTACTACTGTATATTAGGGAGAACTTAAGAAATATAATGCTGTACTAAATTATTTGAAATTCAGTTCATTTGGTTAATTCCTTTTTTCCTTGCTTGATAGTTTAAAAAGAACTTATTAATATTCATGAGTTCAATCATTCCTGATGATGACATAATCAATGTCGAAATATTGAATCCCAACACGATGGTGTGTATTTCAATACTTGGAGTATGTATTATACTTTCAATCTTTTCAGATTGCAGATTTAAGCAGAATTACAGAAACCATCTAATCTGCGTTGAAAATTAAAATATAAAAAGTGGGTTCAACTCTCATTATTTGTGGAAAAGTGGCCGATTTTCGTGAAATATAGTAATCCCTTCAGATGAAATGAATACCGTACTGATTTGAAGAAAAAATAGTTATGTTTTCAACTTTACTATACTGTTGTACGCAAGCCTTTGAAATTCAGTTTTAGTAATTTCCCTATGGTGTTTCAACAATGTAATTTGAGTAATGCAATAACTTAGCACTTGTGATTGGGGACACACGTTACAATGCGCGTTCTTCACAACAGAGCTCGAAAAGAAAGGAAAATCTAAAGGTTCTTCCAATCATTAATTTTAGTTTGTACACTATTCATCCCTTTGCGGTAGGCCTATAACATGTAAATCCTGAGCTCTTCATCCTTGATTGGTTGTGATGCAGTGCGTGTTGGCATATGAATGTATGCAGGCAGAGGCACTTGATTTAATGACAGCTCTTGATTTTTAAAATGTTAATGAAGCCACAAAAACGTTAAATATATTCGTGGAGGCTAACATTGCAGTTTCTCATCGTCGAGATTTTGCTGGAGCTCTATAAATACAGAATTCAGTAGGCTATTGTAGGTTGTTTTGCCATGTGTACAAACAGGTGGATTTAGAAAAGCGCGTTATTGGATAGCAGGTTAAATTTTTTTTGTAACAAGTGTCAGGCCTGACCAGTGTGGGTTGATGTTGCGTGCCTGTGTGATTTTTGTAAATGCACAACGCCTCAAAGGGTTCCGTCCGAGATTTCCCTTTTGTGGCCATTCCTAATTACCCAAGATGAATCACTTATCTACATTACCAAAATAGTTTACACTTCTAGATTCACAGAATTAAATTCCATTGCCATTCTCACCTCGTGATAAGCCTACAAATGTCAAACCACATAGTAGATCAATACAGTATATTATGTAGATTCCTGTGTGATTTTTGTCCGTGTAGTATAGTTTTTATTCATGTCAATATAAATTTGTTATAGTTTTATTATTCATTATTTTCACTTGACTCGCATAAATAATTTTGTTCGAAGAACATTTATATGCAGTTGTACTTCGCAGCACTTCACTTGCAATTTGCAATTTCTAGTTACTATCTATTATTAGTAACAGCGTTTATCTGAGGAGAAATGTTGATAAATAATAAATGTTTTCAATCTTAGGAGAAATTTTGATAAATAATATATGTTTCCATTATCAAGTCCGATTGAGAATACAGACGGCATTAATTTCGTTGAGTTATAAAGGCTGTCGTCATTGTGCAGCTTCTTGACGTAGATCAGTTTTCGGCGAAACGGACACTAGATTAAACTAGATAGTCAAACGCACAGATCAAAATTTTAATAAATTCGATAAAAATGCGCCAACTACTAGGAATATGCAACATCTTTCTTCTTTCTTTTCTCCCAGATCAGTCCGCAGTGCCCCGACTCTCCCATAGCGTACTCGATTTAGCACCCTGACCCAAAAGAGCTTTGTTGACACATAACAGCAGAATGTCTGACATCGACTGTAGGACATATGTCATATTACAATGTTGATAAATAATAAATGTTTTCAATCGTAGGAGAAATTTTGATAAATAATATGTTTCCATTATCAAGTCCGATTGAGAATACAGACGGCATTAATTTCGTTGAGTTATAAAGGCTGTCGTCATTGTGCAGCTTCTTGACGTAGATCAGTTTTCGGCGAAACGGACACTGGATTAAACTAGATAGCCAAACGCACAGATCAAAATGTTAATAAATTCGATAAAAATGCGCCAACTACTAGGAATATGCAACATCTTTCTTTTCTCCCAGATCAGTCTGCAGTGCCCCGACTCTCCCATAGCGTCCTCGATTTAGCACCTTGACCCAAAAGAGCTTTGTTGACACTTAACAGCAGAATGTCTGACATCGACTGTAGGACATATGTCATATTACCGGGGATGACACCAAAGTTTGCCCGATGGGGGTCGATGTCCCCGACGAGAGCAAAGTGGGCGTGGTCGGCGTCGCTCAAAATATTTCGAAAGTGGTCCAGGGAGCGAAGCCCCAAAAAAATTGTACGATTTAGGGGTTTCAAAGGTTTGTTTAATCGATTTTAGAGTCTAATGATAATATAGAAAGTACATACCTGTATAATTTTTTTCCCCCGACGATTGGAGGGGAGAGGCAGCTCTCCCAGACGGGGGTCCTGTCCTCTCTCTTGGTCCCCCATTGGCGCCACCCTTGCATATTTTACCCAGTGACGATTAAAGGGGCGTCAGCCGGCCCGGGCTCCCTAAATTTGTCATTTGTATTTTGTGGTTAAAATACAAGCACATCTAAAATTCCACAAATCCCAGTCTCAGAAAGCCACAAGGGTCGCCCGGATTCAGTGTTGTGCCACTGATGATCATACCATGGCATGGTTACATGTAATTAGCAATCTTACGTTAATTAAATTCGCTGTTCAGGTAACTCGTAAGTAAATGGATTGAAAGACTAATAGCATGTAGCCTATATCGTCAATATAACTATCGTCATTTCATAGAACTTTACAGCAAGCGGAAGTATTATTTCAACGTCGTGTCGACTGACGATATTAACTACTACTATATGGTACCGGTAGATTTTGATTAATGTTGATGAATCTACATAGTTTAAAAGGCAAAAATGCGTGGATAAACAAACTGTAAGCGAATGAAACAGAAGTGGTGATGGCTGCAATCTCGATAATGTCTAAACTGTTTTCTTTAGTTAACAGTTAGCGTACGTTCCTTATTCTCGTCTTTCATGTTGATAGATAATTTATTTCACTTTAACATTAAAAACCCTTTTGAATTCATCATTTCTTATTTTTAGGCCGCGCATGCACTGTTAGAACACTCCCGTGTAACTATTTTAATTTGGTTCAATTTAAAGCCGGTTACTCACTCGTACGACGGCAACGCGACGAAGAACGCACGCGAAGACGCGGACCCAACGGATCGTCTTTTTAATGAGGATCCGTTCAGATTGTACGACGCGTGAGTGTCCTGGTTAACACTTACAGAGACTGGAAGTATCTCTATTATTTTTCTTTATAAAATTATGGGTAAAAATTTTCAAATACACTAAATTCTATGTTCAAGCTGATAATTGTTTTTTACTTCAAAAAGAGCAAGTTAATTACAAATTATTATTAATTTTATATATTTTTTTGTTGTATTTTTCATGGAACAATATATCTTTAATGACGCATAGGCCTATGTCCAACATTCTTCTCTACACCGATTTTATTCCTTTTAATGTTTCATTCATTTTGTACCCTGTACGGTTCGGTACATCTTGAATTTTATATTCCCATAGGCCTACTTTTTAGTTTCTGTTAATTTATTCAATACACAACCCAACTCTCATCATCACACTTGTAACGCCATAACGTTCACAATATCTGAGCATGCGTGGTCGGCTCATGTGTGATTGGCACTATGAATATTTAGCGAGGATATAATTATCAGTGCCATAATAATCACTGTTTCTGGCCGGACACGCTAGTTACTATAAGCGCAACCATAACCGTGATCACAAGCTTACAGAGGAGTTGTCCATCGCTCCACGGCTGTTATTATGTTACAAAGGTAAGATCGACCACACGGGACCTCCAATTCAATGATCGAATACGGAAGGATGCGAATTGTATCGATGCAGTTAATTACATCGTCTGCCTAATAACAGATATACCAACGTTTTATTATTATTTCTTGAATTTTACGAAAATGGCATAAGGCCTAGTAGGAACAGATAGGAACAACCGTGAAAATTCACTTGGTGCAAAAATGCGGATTTAAATCGAGTTGGCAACAGTTGAACGCCTAGTTTTTTGGGGTTTTTTAAAAATATAAAACGTTCCATTCCTGTGAGGTCATTTTGACCATTCTACTTCATCAGTTTGCAGATGTTAGTTGTGCCAACCGGTAAAACATTACTATCAAGACGGCCGCCAATATAGGAGCCTAAATTCTGAAAGATCCCGGTTACAATAGTGCGTGTGTAGTTTGGAAATAAGATTTTATTGCCAAACACCCGTTAGCTGTTATCTGTTGAAATTACATTTAATATCCAAAATAAGTCCGTTTCATTAATCTGATGTATACCTGTTTATTTTTAGAATCACGGATTTAAAATATTATTGTATGCATATTTGACTTGGTATATACGTCAAGTCGTCAATATATTAATTATTTGAATTGTAAGATCCTTGATTCAGAAGTCGTTAAATATTTAAATATTGAATAACTGAATATTATGATTTGGAATCACTGGCAGGACTTCTACGCCATATAAAACATTAAAGAGCTCATCGGCGTGCCTTTGGGCTATACTTTAAACCGCACCGTCTCGGAAATTAACGACATCAATTCGAATGAAATCGAATAGTCCACAACCAACGATGGAGAATATACAATGCTCAAAA